TCTGGATTAGAGATTACTTTTTCCAACACAGTCTGGGCTAAAGTGAATGAGTCATTTTTGCCTATAAAACGTTTCTTAAGTTTAGAGAAAGATAGTTTAAATAAAATTTGTAGATCTGACAATGTTCTTTAATTTGCAAGTTTCTAAATTAAAATTCATAAATAATTCACCAAGAAAGTTGTAAAAAACCCTTAATTTTGGAGTAATTTATAAATGTTAACAACTTGGCTTTTGCATATTGGCATGAAACATAACTACTTATTGTTGTAAAATTGTGAAAGTTAATGAGTTATTGAAGTGTGCTGAATTTCAAATAAATTGACCAAATTGTTTATAAGTAATATATATATATATATATATATATATATATATATATATATATATATATATATATATATAAAAGAAGTACTTGTGACTCGTTTGGAAAAAATATAAAACTTTTTTTTGGATGGGTTGAAGTCAATAAATGTTGACTATTGAATAAGTTGAATATTGAAAGTTGAATATTTGTTGACTATTTTTTACTCGAGCTTTCAATTGTGAATACAATTATTATCAAGAGCTTCTAAAAAATACAAAATATCTTACAAATATATCTTACAAATTAAATTACAAACTTTTTGTTAACTCACCAAATAAAATTAGTTTTTTATATAAAACTGCTGCTAACATCTAATTACAAAAAATATTATTAAAAAAATGTCCTATTCTAATGAATGTTTCTCTGAAATAAATTTTGATAAAGTTTGTTAACAAAAAACAATTGAATTTGTAAACAAAAATTAAATAGCTACAAATAAGCCTCAATATCATAAATACCAACTTAAAAATTTTTATTTTTGACATATTGTCAAAAATAAAATTTTGTTTAAAAAATTCTTTTTTGTTTAGTAACAAAAAAGAAGAAGATTTATTTACCATTGATAGATGCCTGAAAAAATGTAACAAATACATGGAAGATTCAAAATGTGATATTTTACTGATTACATATATAAAATACATAGAAATAATATAATTATAAATTTTGCTTAGATTTTGAATTTCTGACCTTTTGCTAATACAAACCATTTCCAAAAAAGTTCTTTTAAATTTATTACTTTCACTATATAAAATTTTAATATTGTCAAAATCCATAATATTGTCTTTGTCTATTACATGCTCTGCCAAAGCACAAGATGGTTTCTTAATTCTGCAATCACTTTTGTAAGAAATAATAAGATTTCAGAGATTTTTACCAGTCTCACCAAGATACTCAGCCTCACACTGAGTACAACTAATGCTGTATACTACATTTGTTTGATCTAATTTGTCTATAGGATATTTAGTTTTGGAATATAGAGATGAAATGGTTTTGATGTTCTTTGTTGCTATTTTTATATTGTCAATAACCTTTAGGATTTGTATTAATTTAGGAGTTAATGATGGTATAAAAGGTAGTGAATGATAATATATGTTCTGATTGTTGGATACAGTGTTTTGAAATTAAGCAAAAAATGATGTTGTTATTTATATTTAATAAATTAGAAAAAAGCATCTTATGTAGCATATCTGGAGGATAAGAGTTTTCAATTAAAACATTTTTTAATAAATGAAGATCTATTTGTAGATAGTCTGGATGAGTAAGTTTTAAAACATGTTCCTTTAATTCTGTAATAAGGTTCATTTTCATCTTATTTGGATGGTGAGAGTAATAGCTTATAAATCTATTACTACATATGGGTTTTCTGAATCATCTGGTTTTTAACATATTTTCTGTATTTTTTATAATTCTCATGTCAAGGAATGGTAGAGAATTATCTACCTCTTCCTCAATTGTAAATTGTATATGTTGATTATGATTGTTAAAATGTTGACTGTTTTAAGAATTTGTGTTTAGGAAGTGCCAGAACTAGATCATCTACATATCTTTTGATAAATGGAATGAAAAAAGTGCAATTATTGATACAATCACTAATAACATCATCCATGACATAGCTACTTAGAATGGGTGAAAGACTAGATCCCATAGGGCTACCAAAAATTTGTTTATAAAAAACACCATTAAATATAAAAATATTAGAATCAAAAACAAAGTTGATGAGTGTTTTAAAATGTAATAAGTCAATATTAGTATGTTGCGAAATCTCATTCCAATGTTTTTCAACACTACTTATGATTAAATTTAAAGGTAAATTGGTAAAAAGAGATGTTACATCAAAACTAACTAAAACATAATTTTGTAGTAATTGGAAATTATTAATGAAAGAACTAAAATCAAATGAATCTTTTATGTAAAAATTTTTGATTAAATTATAAGCATTGGTTAAGATGTCAGTGAGGAGCTGTGCTATTGGTCCATTTGGAGCGCATAGAGATGAAACAATTGGTCTCATAGATAAAGTTGGTTTATGTATTTTAGATAGAGCATAAAACCGTGGTGCAATAGAATTATAAATTTTGAGTTCTTTTGCTTTTTTATTATCAATAAATTTCTTACTGTTTAATTTTGATACTAGACAAATTGCTTTTTGTTGTAAAGTACAAATAGGACTCCTTCTAAGTGTAGTGTAATACTTAGTATCATTTAAGAGTTCTCCAGTTTTTTGTAGGTAATCCTCTTTATACATTACAACAGTTACGTTACCTTTATCGCTTTTGATAATTGTCAAATATGTTGGTGAGACTGGAAGAAAACTCTCAAATCTTATTATTTCTCACAAACGTGATTGCAGAATTAAGAAACCATTTTGTGCTTTGGCAGAGCATGTAATAGACAAAGACCATATTATGGATTTTGATAATAGTAAAATTTTATGTAGTGAAAGTAATAAATTTAAAAGAACTTTTTTGGAAATTGTGTGTATTCGTAAAAGTGTTAATAATTTAAACAAAAGATCAGAAATTCAAAATCGAAGCAAAATTTATAATTATATTATTTCTATGTAGTTTATATATTCAATCAGTAAAATATCACATTTTGAATTTTCCATGTATTTGTTACATTTTTTCAGGCATCTATCAATGGTGAATAAATCTTCTTCTTTTTTGTTACTAAACAAAAAAGAATTGTTTAAACAAAATTTTATTTTTGACAATGTCAAAAATAAAAATTTTTAAGTTGGTATTTATGACATTGAGGCTTATTTGTAGCTATTCAATTTTTGTTTACAAATTCAATTGTTTTTTGTTAAGAAACTTTATCAAAATTTATTTCAAAGAAACATTTATTAGAATAGGACATTTTTTGAATAATATTTTTTGTAATTAGATGTTAGCAGCAGTTTTATATAAAAAACTAATTTTATTTGGTGAGTTACCAAACAAAATTTTATTTCTAGTTCAACTTCGTAAGTAATTTTGTATTTTTTAGAAGCTCTTGATAATAATTGTAATCACAATTGAAAGCTCGAGTAAAAAATAGTCAACAAATAGCCCCTTTTATTGACTCCAACCCATCCAAAACAGTTTTATATATATATATATATATATATATATATATATATATATATATATATATATATATATATATATACACTGACTTTTATCATGAATGATTGGCCGGAAATATTTAGGTTAGCACGACAGAAAAGATTAGAGAAGGAGTTGAATGCATTACGAGAACTTAAATATACAGATTTTTATGATATAAATATTTATTTATTTATTGTATGGCAATATGATCTAAATAATTTGGCACGAACAATAATAAAAAATAGAACGAAAGATGAAGACGGTTGCATAGTATTCTGGCTAAAAATTAAATGCTTCAAATTTGTAAACGAACATGCCGATGTATTTTTTTTTAAGATATGGCCATTCATTTACGTATAAAGTATTTTAAATCTCCGTATTTGTGGTCCAGGAAGAAGAAGTATTCGGGATATTTCAGAAATATAAATAAGTTTAAAATCTCTTTACGAGTATAATGATTTACTCCCAATTTCAACTTTGAAGAAACTTAGCAACGAAAATCTCATACCAGATGAGGGTTCTTATTAATATAAAAATCTACCAACAAGTACCTCTATAAATGAGAACCTGCCAGAACCCAATTTTGGGGAGGAATCACAAGACTCAATATCAATAAATTCCTAAAATAAGTTTTTTTGTAATATTTTGTTTTATTGTATGCAATTTTATGGGAATTTATTATAATTTGTATTAGTAAACGAAATAATAACATTTTCGTCACTTCCTATCTAATTACTTAATCCCTAAGTACCAATCAGGAATATGATAGTTTGAGGTAAAATTCGTTAAGTATATTTAGCTTAATAATTTTAAAATTATTGAGTTCTGATCATTTCTTTTAAAACATGATAGTAAAGTAACATCTTACCTTCATAAATAATATTACTTTTATCTAGAGCAATCATAAATAAAATTATAAAGCCAAAAACAAACAAAACGTTGAATATCTCTGTTGTACTTATTTTGAAGTTAGTGAGTTTTACTTCTATATAGACGATATATAATGTTATTTACATTTACTTAAAACGGGGGAACCAATTTCTCTCCATTCAGGGTATGAAATTATTCATCCAGTTGTTTGCATCTTTTAGTCAAAATCTTAATGAAAAAAATATTTTTTAGGCAAAAATATTTAATATAGATTTTGTTAGTAAAAATATTAGTAAAAATATGTAAAAAAATTTACAATTTACTATCATATTTTTAAATAAATAATTTTAGAGTGATCAATTTCACCCCGTTTTACGGTATGTAAAAACATATAAATCTTTTTTTTTTTTAATTGTTGGTCTTAATTTTTAGTTATTACAGTATTTATTATGCTACTACTGTAAGTGAAAATAAAGTGAGGTAACACTGCATAAAAATAGTTGAAAAGGTTAGATTTTTGCCTCTATAATGCGTGAACCATATGGCGAGTTTATGCAATATAAAATCAACATTATGTATTGATTTGACACAAAATTAAAATTATTTCTGAATATTTCTGAATTAAATAAAACAGCCTTGATTTTGTGCAGATGACACTAAGACTCTTTAGTATGTATCGATTGCTATATAAGAAGGAATATGTTGGAGAGAAGTATTATTCCTAAAATCATTCAAGAACAAACATGGTATTCAAAGTAAGTAAAAATTTAACTTGATTAACAATATTACTATTTAATAAATACATACTTTAATCACGTAATTAACCATTCAATAGTTTTTATATAAAACAATGTTTGTCTGTATGTTTCATCGTACACATATTTCTGTTCCACTTTTAAGTTTTTTTTTTTATTGTTTTTTCTTTTGTTTTAATACTTAATTTGAACATAAACTTATTAAATAATATTATTACTGTTACCATATTACCTTATTAACACATAACAAATGTGTTGATATAAAAATAAACATGTCATAATCTGTTACCTTTTCCCCAAAGTGTAAAGTGTTTTAAATATTTTCTTCTATTTTAGACATTTTAAAATTTCATACAGTTTTTACCTTTTTAAATAGATTGCTGTCTTACTTTGGTCAAGGTTCTTCTGTAAGATCCTGGTTTAAAGATTAAAATTTACTTGTGTCAGACACAAAGTCAACGAGCGAAACCACCTCTCTGTTTGTGTCCCTTATATTTTTATAGGCAGACTAAGAAGGGCAATTTATTACTAAGACCTCTTTTGGTTTAACACTTTTATCCCCGTTTTTACTGTATTTTGAAAAGTTGGGATAATATACTACTTCCTTACTTCCATCCTTTCAGTATCCGAAACACCAATAATTTAAATCCTTAATTTCCACTGATTGGCCATATATCCTTGTCATTTGCTAAAATTTGGTCTTAACCTGTCAAGTCTTTCTCATATTTATACATGTGTTTTTTTTTAATTGCCGTACTGCCAGATTCCAGTAAGAGCCTAAGAAGGTATCCATTGGATTCTGACAGGCAACGGTGGGGGAAATCTTTTTTGGACCTCTACGTCATGAAACAAGACACCCTGGTATTTTTTGGCCGAGTGGGATACTAAGTCAGAAAACCCCAGGGTAGTGCCGGATTAACCGTGTTCCGGCTAAAACCTTAACCACCGTTCTAGAGAGGTGGTCTTGCCACTCAATAAACAACTAAAAATTTATATATAGCCATACCTATTACCGTAAATCAGAAAATGTTTAGACGTAGACCATAAACTAATAAACCATATTAACTATAAATTTTTAGATCCCTAGCCTAATTTCCTCCTCTATCCTCCTGTTCCTGTTTCTTCACCACCCCAGAAATCAGACAGTGTACTTCTCTCCATTCTTTCTCTCCTCTCAACATTATGTTTACAATATTTCTTTTATCCAGCCCGAAACTCATTCGCCTCTTAAAATCCCTTATCTCATTTGTCCATCTCTGGCAGTTAAAAATGTGAGCAGGAGCATCCGGTACCGCACAAACAGTACAGTCTGCCGAGGCAGATTTGCCTATTCTATTTGTGAAGGTACCAAAACTACCATGTCCGGTTAGAAACTGCGTCAGGAAGTAGTCTAGTATTCTGAACACCACGGTCTCAGATCGAGAATGAGCTCTTTCGTCTACCTTGCCTTTCCACGATCATTCGCCCATTCTCTCTGCCACTCTACTTATTATTTACATCCATCCTCCTCGCATGCATCCTCGCTCGCTCTTTACACAACAAAACGATCGGTATTACCGCTCCAATGACATATAGAGCCTCATTCGAGACTGTCCTATATGCACTAGACACCCTAAGGAGTATTCGCCTTTGCCAAGTCTCCATGAACTTAGCGTATTTCGCAGTGTTTGGTACACTACACCACACAGGAGCAGCGTAGGTTTCTACCGACTGGAAAACTCCATTTAGCACCTTTCTTTTGGTTCTTCCTGGGCCTCCAATGTTTGGCATCAACCTATCAACGCTTCCAGATTTCGTTTTGCCTTCTCTACTTATGCATGTTAGTAGATGGTGAATACTGTAAACCGCGCCACAGTTGCAAGTATCAGCCTCTAGCTATCCTTATTTTCTCTTTCTTGCTAGCACAATGTAAAGTGCTAATTCTTAGTCTCTTTAGTGCTCTTTATGTTTCTTGTTCTTCGTTATTTGTATGTAGACATAGCTCTGTCTGTCTTTTAATGTTACAGTAGTAAGTTCTCTTTCTTATCCTGTCTTCGATGTTTTTCACCTTGCATCTACGTCGTATATTTGTACAACTAGCTCTGTCTTATAGTGTCACCATCAATATTGGTAACCCTGCTATTTCTAACATTCTTTTTGTCTTCGCTGTATTAGGTCGTATTTCTGCTACGTTTGTCATTATTGGTCTGATGACTATTTCGTAAATTCTGCATTCCATTTTTTTCTCGATATTTTTATTATACCATATTTTTGTGTTCAGGCAACCTGCGACTCTGTTTGTTTTATTTACTTGATTTTCTACTTCTGGTTCGAGGTTTACATATCTAGTTAGTATGACATCATAGTTACATCTTAGTAAGTTTGCTGTTATAACCATGCATTTTATTGTTTTCGGGTATGTTTTATTTTCTGGCCGTTATATTAGATTGTTTCAACATACACTGTAAGTCGTCTTATGTTTAAGAGAGTAGTATTGGGTCAGCTGCATGAGAGATTATTTTTAGTTGTTTTTCTCTTATTTGCCTTTTTATGTCTAGTTAGGCATATCTGTCAGGCAATCCTGATCAAGAAATAAGATCGAGAATAGAACAGGCTAGAAAATCTTTCGAAAAAATAAAAAAACTGCTTTGTGATTCTCGAATAAAACTCGAAATTCGACTACGTTTATCAAAATGCTACGTCTGGTCGACTCTTCTATATGCAGTTGAAATGTGGACCCTTAAAACATCAACCGTAAATAAATTGGAGGCCTTTGAAATGTGGATCTACCGGAGAATACTCAAAATTTCATGGACATCGCATACCTTAAACGAAGAAGTGCTGCATAGAATAGGCAAGGAAAGAGAACTTTTTAACACAGTTAAAGTAAGAAAAAACATTATACCTAGGCCACATACTGAGAAATAATAAGTACCAATATGCCCAACTTATAGTGAAAAGAAAAATCGAGGGAAAGAGAGGCCTAGGAAGGAAAAGACTATCAGGGCTCAGAAACATCCGACAATGGACAGGGCTAAATTTTGAACAGCTAATAAGAACAGCTGGAGATAGAGAAGAGTTTAAAATTAGAGTAGCCAACCTCCATTGAGGAGAGGGCACTTTAAGAAGAAGAAGGCAATTTATGTCTAAGAGCCATTTCTTCTTAAACTAAAAGATGTGTTGTGATAGCTTGTATTTCAGACAGTATTTTTAAGATCTCTGTCTACTAAGCTGAGTTTTGTGGTCATACAAAGTGTCTTCTACCCATCTCCTGCCTTTCTCATTCTACTTCTCACCTTACCTGTCTTCTAGTGTATGGTAGAGGGAGTTGCAACTATGTGGTAGACCTTTTTTATGGGTGTCAATTTTCGGCACCCCGATATTATACGACTATTTTATTTAAAGCTATTACGCCGACATTTTTACCGTTAGCAAAGTTTGCTTAAACTGTTACCCAAAATTTTGCTCTGGCAAAACATGACTATGGCAAAGATGCGAAGGGTATTTGTTTATGCTCCTCAACTTATATTAGTTTGTGAATTGTGATATTTCTTGTGATTTCTTTTTGTTTACTTGTTAAAAGTATTATCAAAGAGATGCAGTTTTATTTACACATATGCCGAGGTATTTTGGCATTTCGTTGTATTCAAGCATCTAGACACGCACCATTTTAGTACCAGCGTCCTTCGGCCATACTTGTTATTTACGTAAAAAACACACACCTGTTTTTTTGTGATATTGCGTTTTAGAGTGTTTTCATTAGAGTATAGTAGTATAGTGTAGTAAGGGTTTTATAACTATTGTCTGTTCTTTTGGTCTAAAGGTTCTCTACCGAACTGCTACAGCTCTATCATCCGCGTAAATACATTATTTTGTTTGTTGGTTTATGTGTTGGTCATTGATTTATGTGCTGTAGAGAATCGACGCGAGGACACTTCCCTGTGGGAAACATTTTTAGCCCTTCTATCGACAATTCTTTAACAGATGCGCCTGTTCGAAAAAAATATATTTTACCACTCACGAGTAAGGGCTTCTTCTCATCTATGTAAGCTTTTAGCACATCTACCGCTGTCTGTTTTTATTCTGTTCAGCGCTGTCCGTGTATCACGGGGCAATTCAAAGTCAGGCAGTTTCTGAGTGATACAGGTTATTTGGTACATTTGCTGTGGTAAGTCGGACTCTCCGTGTCTTCTTCAGACGGTGGTTAAACTGAAACTTTGCTGATGCAAGGGGGTGGCTTTACCCTCGACGATATCTGGGAGGAGAAAAAACCAAAATTGCTTATATAAAGAAAGAAGACGAGGAAGAACTTTGGCATGAATACTAGATAGATAAGTTCCAGAACTTCTAGACAAATCAAATCATTTTTTTTTAATATTTCTATATTGTGTATTTATAAACCCCTTAGTATATTGTTCGTAAAGGTTAATAGATTTACATTGACTTTGTCTCGTTTATAACATTTATTTTTTATCTTGCTCCATTTAGTTAGTTTTTCGTAAACAATCTATAATTTATTTAACTCCTGTATGCTCTACAGATTTAGAACATTGTTTTACTAAAGATGACAAAACTTATACAAAAACTAATATTGCACTGCAAGATACCAGACGCATCGAGAAACAGCATAATGATAGCAATGTTCAAGAAAGGAGATAAAGAAGACTCCTACAATTATAGCGGTATAAGTTTACTGAACACTTCACTTAAGCTTACTACAAAGGTCTTAAACAATAAAATCAATAAACTAACAACTTTATCAGATGAACAACAAGTATTCAGACGCGGAAGATCCTACGTAGACGCCGTATTTGTAAGACAAATCACAGTAAAAGTCATCGAGTACAATAAACCAGCATATCTATGTTTTATAAACCTGACAAAAGCTTTCGATCGCATCCAAGTTGAAGACGTTTTACACCTACTGTATAAAAAATAGATACCAATCAATATTAGACAAACCATCGAAAACATCTACCTCCAAAATCGAATACAGGCAAAGATAAATGGAAAAATACCACAGTGTATATCAGTTCAAAGAGGAGTCAGATAGGGTGACACGTTGAGCACACTTCTCTTTAATATAATAATGGACGAAATAATACAATCAGTACGTAGAGGTCATGGCTACAGAATGGGGAACAAAGAAATCCAAATATTATGTTATGCAGACGACGCCGCATTAATCGCCGAGATTGAACACGAGCTCCAAAGATTAACACATATCTTCAATAAAACAGCTAAGAAATACAATATGATACTATCAGCAAACAAAACCAAATGAATGACAACATCTAAATACCTACTGTAGTGTAAAATCGAAATTAATGGAAAAATAATAAAGCAGGAAGCAAGATTTAGATATCTGGGAATAGATATAACTAGTTACAGAGATGTTGAAGAAGAAGTAAGACAACAAAACTTAAAAGCGAGTAAAGCGGCGGGTTTTCTTAATGACACAACATGGAAGAACAAACACCTGAGATAAGATACAAAAAAAAAGAATCTATAAAGCAGCAATTAGACCTATATTAACATACATGGCGGAGACAAGATCTGACAGATCTAAAACGACACAACTGCTAAAAACAACAGAGATAAACATACTCCGACGAATGTTTGGGGGAAGTCTGTTGGATAGGGGGGAATGAGAAGCGAAAACATAAGAAGAGCATGCAATATAGAAGACATAAATGGATGGGTGACAAAACGAAAACAGAAGTGGAACAAACATATCAGTAGAATGGCAGAGGATAGAATAGTACGAATACTTTTTTGTTGTATATTCTTCTACTGGTGATTATGTCAATTTTTTCTGACGCCCTTAAATTTTTTCTGACTCCCTCCAACTTTTTTTTGAGTCCCTTTAATTTTTCTGTCTCCTTCCACTTTTTGATGATTCCTTCCAATTTTATTGTTTTTCCATTTAATTTTTTATCTCGAGATTAAATTTTCTTCTTTGCGATGTTGCTACTAAGATTCCGCTTCCTAGGCTCGTTATTCTTTATTTTGCTAAACTCCAACTTCCCTTCTTTGAGCATTCCTAGCTTCCTTTCATTTTTTATTGGTATTATATTTTTATTTCTCACCATATTTGTAGCCAAAATTTTACGACTAACAAACTTTTAAAAGTATTAAAACTTAAATTTTTACATTAATACATTTTTTGCATGTAAACACAGTAAATATAAAGTATAACATAAAGCTTTAAATGTTTTTGCTAAATAAATCTTACCTTAAAATAACAGTAACTAATATTTTTGGTAATTTTGCGAAAAAATTAATCACTGATAAAGTAGTAAAATTTTCTAGTAGTGATATTTTAATAATCAATTTGTAGAATGAATTAGCACTAAATCAACTTCATCCATTCGGGAACAAAATATATGATTCATTAAGACTCAGTAAGTTGAAATGCCAGTTGGCAGTTCAGATTTCTTTCCTTGATGGCGCTAGGAGAGTTATTGACTCGGACAAATTGCATGTCGTTTTAGAATATTATTAGATTAGAAGATTATTGGTAAACAACTTTATATAAATAAATAAAATAAATATAATAAGTATAAATAAAATAATATAATAGTAAGAAACATGTAAAAAATTATTTTTTAACTAGTTCATTAACAATGATATTAATGCTTTTTTTGGGTATATTTAATTTACCGGGAGAATAGAAAGAAAGTTCTTAAAGAAACTGGAAAGAATATTTAAAAAAAAAATCAGACAAAATAGGGATAATGCAGCAAACAGTAATAATATGTATGTAAAGAGGAATATTGTGAAGACTAAAACTAGTTATAGGAACATTTCAAATAATCCAAAAGACTTTCGCATAGTAAAGTTAACTAAACCATAGAAAATAAGTAAACGAAAAAGAATTTTTTTCTTACAGCCTTAAAGTGTTTAATGCGTTTTAAAAAGAGAGTATTTACTTTTTATTTGCAAAAAAAAAAGAAAATAATTTTTTACTTATTATAGTGTATGTTTTTAATTTAAACACAAATTCATATATGATTTCTAAAAATGTTTATAATAAAAACTATATATTTTATTTTAGCTAACTATCTTCGCTGCACTTGCTGCCTACGTACATGCAGGAATTTATGGCGAATTAGGAAGTGTTCCCGTTGCAAGTCCAGTAATATCTGCATACTCATCACCTTTATCAGTAAGATCTGTAGTATCCTCTCAACTGCTGTCATCTCCACTATTGTCGACTTCACCCTTATATAGCAGATCTTTATCTTCATACTCCTATGGCTCCTCAGTTCCAGTTATCTCATCACCTTTAGTAAGAAGTTTATCTCCCCTTCCAGTACCTTTAGTAAGAAGTTTATCTCCGCTTCCAGTAGCATCGGTTCCATCCTTGGTGTCGGCACCAATATTAACAAGAGGATATGCTCCATCAGCTTCTCTTCTTTCAGCTCCAGTTCTAAGAAGCGTTTCATCTCTACCATTATTACAAGCTCCATCTTTATCTAGAAGTCTTTCTCTAAACTCATTACTACCAGCTCCAGTAATTTCCAGAAGTGTTTCTGTAAGTCCACTAGTATCAGCTCCAGTATTATCAAGTTATGCTGCCAGTGCTCCGTTACTATCGGCTCCAGTAGCTTGGTAGAAGAATTAAGTATGATTTTGTTTTAACTCTATATTTTTTGTATATAGAATATACTTTGTTGTAAAAAAATTATAAACTAATACCAATCATTAAAAGTGTTTAATGTTTACTTTAATAAAAAATTGTTTTAAAGCTAAAAAAAAAAAATTCGAAGATTTCTACTATTTCTCTGAAAACAAAATTTAGATACTCACTCAAATCTGTGCCTTCTAAGATTTTTAAAGAAAACAGATGATAAATAAACCGACATATGGGGAATCTAAAATTGCATTCCACATCATCTGGATTTATCTAAGTAGGAACCTCTGATGAAGTGACTTCTAATAATCAAAATACAAGTAAATAAAGATGTAAAAAAGATAGTTAAGATTTGAAAAAAAAAAAAAAAAATTAATCTTTGTAAATGGGTATATTTATTTAAAAAACCCTTAAAAGGGCCACATCAATAAAACAAACGTTTTCGGACCAGACAGTCCATCATCAGGTTATTAAAATCGAAAATGCTAGGTCACAATGCCTGAGCCACCAAAATATTAGGGTAAAAACCCTTTAAATTACATTTAGTTATAAAATATTGTACATTGTGTTATAGAATAACTGTGATGTAACACAATGTACAATATTTTATAACTAAATGTAATTTAAAGGGTTTTTACCCTAATATTTTGGTGGCTCAGGCATTGTGACCTAGCATTTTCGATTTTAATAACCTGATGATGGACTGTGTGGTCCGAAAACGTTTGTTTTATTGATGTGGCCCTTTTAAGGGTTTTTTAAATAAATATACCCATTTACAAAGATTAACCTCTTTTTGTTATACGTGGTATACAGCCAGCTACAGGAATTTTTCCTTGTGGATTTAGTTAAGATTTGATTACACGTATCTATTGATTAATTTGTTTATATAATTAAAGTCTATTTTAGGGCCCATTAAAGCGATTCATTAGGTAAGTCCTAAATGTGAAATCAAATATTTTCCATCAAAGGACGTCATAATGAAATAACTTCCTAAAGACGCATAAAACCACATCTAAAACTAAAGTAACAAGTAAAAATCTGAATAATTCCTCCAGTTGTTCGAAAAGACTCAAAATTCAGAGACTTACCCAAATCTGTGACTTCCATTTACGATTTTCAAAGCAAATAGACGATGAATAAATCTACATGGGATATCCAAAATTGCATTCCACGTAATATTAATTAATCTAAGTAAAAACCCTTTATGAAGTGGTTTCTAATACTTAGCGAAAGCTAAGCTAGCCAAAATAAAAATAAAAAACGACAGTTATGATTTGATTTCACGTACAGTGCTTTTACAATTTTCCTATACTTATTCGTCCTTTCGAGGACATATAAGAGCACCTTAGTAGGAAGTCCCAAAAGGGAAATCGAATTTTTTCTGTCAAATAAAGTATTAATGAAATAACTTCCTAAAGACGCATAAAGCCAAGATTTCTACTACTTGTTTTTATAAAGACTGTCAGTAAGTGACGAATTATACGCAAGTATTTCAACCTCATTAGGTATCATCAGAGCGTCATTTACAGAGGCTCTTAATCGAAATTAAATATATCCCGTCATAGTACAATACTTTAAAAAATATATTTACAGACGTTACAACGCCATTTAATACCAACATTAGAAATCCTAAGATTTCTTACTTGGCCAAATTAAATTCAAATTTTTACCACTGCGCTTTCTACAACTTACAAAGCAGACAAATTAATAAATTAGTCGAAAAGGGAATCAATAATTTGCATTACACATGCCGTTCATTACGGTAAAATATCTCTTGGTGAATTTAGTTTCTAAAAAAAAACTAGTTTAGTTTTAGTACTACACTATCTATTGCTTTCACATTGACACTATTCATATTTTTAGCATATGCTTACTAAAAATTACTCATTTGGTAATAGGTTATTCTTTAAAGCCCATAGACCCCTCAGCGCACCTTTTTTTTGAGGCTTTATGATATTCTCTATTGCACCGTGTTGGTAGATACGCTTGGCTACATAAGATGTGTCCAATTTATACAAAATTGAAAGACAAGTAATTGGGCGATACTTAGTTGAATCTTAAGTATTATTTTGATCTTTTGGTAATAAATAAGTTGTTCCCTTAGTTACACAACATGGTATTTCTTTTGGGTTATGAATAGTGTGATTAATTAAAGCTAATAAGCACTCATGAACACTCCAGAAGTTCTTAAGCCAGAAGTTTTGAACTCCGTCTGGTCTAGGAGATTCTTAGTTATGAAGCTCTTTGATAATATATGAAATTTCTTTAGTATTAAATGGTTTGTAGGGAGAAGTACTGTAGAGTTGACAGTTATGAGCCGTATCTTCGACCCATTTAGCATTAGTGTTCAAAGAGCAGCTGAGGCCAAAAGTTGATTCCCCCAAAACTCAAAAATTTTTTTATGGCCTGGGTACGATTTATTGGCACTTTCTAAAGTGAAATTAAGTTTTTGATAGAACGCCTTCTCGACATGCTCAAAAAGAGAATTATCGCATTTACAGTTGTTACTAACTTTTTATCTCCTTAATGGGTCTGAGTAAATGAAGAGTTTTTATATTAATGAATCCAGGTACTTCGTACTTCTGTACGAAGTAGAAACATGAACATTATAGGCGAAAACTCTATCAAAACTTCAGGCTTTTGAGCTATGGTCATACAGAAGGATCTTGAAGATACCATAGACAAAGTCACCAATAAAGAAGTCCTGCGGAGAATGAACACAACTGCGGATTTGGTCAACATCGTAAAGGGCCGTAAGCTGCAGTACTTGGGCCATATAATTAAAAATCAAGGCAGATACGAGCTCCTTCAATGCATTTTACAAGGTAAAATTGAAGGAAAAGGGGCTTCAGGACAAAGAAGAATATCCTGGCTTGCTAAACTAAGAGCATGGTATAGAAAGACCTCAACACAGCTAATTCGTACAGTAACCAAGAAAATCATCATAGCCAGAATGATTGCCAACGTTCGGAACGCACAGGCACCCTAAGAAGAAGAATCCAGGTACTAATATGCTGTGTTGTTTTTTGGATTATATTGTGAGTGTATTGTGGTACTAAGCACTATTTCCTCAGCTCTTTTAATTACTTTTCTACTTGTTTCTCAAATATATTCCGATTCAATTTTTTCTTGCAGCCTTTTTCCCTTTCTATTTCCGACTATCTCGTAAATCTTTGTTTCCTTACTGTGTATTTTTGGGTCAAGTTTCTTGTATGGAAAACTTAGGAATTTTCTCATGTATGGCGTTAGTAAGTTAATCTATAACAAGCTCTTAGTTATAAATCTCCCTTTCGACTTCTCTTTTAATGATATTGCGTCTAGTCTCTAAAATAAGATTATTTCTTATGATTACCCGGTATTGATCTATTACTCGTTGTTCAGATACGTTAATATGTGGGTAGTCTCTGCAAAATTCGGTTTCTTACCTTGTGATAGAAGCGAAAAATAGTTTTGTTCATGGACACAGTTCATTTCATGCGCTGCCTCCGTCGTGTCGCTTGGGTACTGACTAATGTTACAGCGCAACACCTTTAGCGAGTGGAGCTCTTGGTAGTGTATGGCTCGTTGGGAATCCTTTTGTTGTTGACTTGTAGCTGATTGTAGGCTCTTAACTGCCTACAACCGACGTTCCGTATGCTGTTACGTCCAGCGACGGCTCCAGACCTGCCTGGCGATCCCCAAGCAGCGACTCTAAACATAAATTATTATTTACCATTTTCATGGTATGCATTTTATATTTACTGTCAGGTGTCAATTTTTACTTCACAGCAACTATCTATACTACCTTCTGGGTATCGGTGCTACGAATACACAAAGAGCATAGAAAAACTGGCAAAAACGCCCACAAATTTCTATTATTACCCAGATTTAGCCATACGGCTCACACTTTCGCACGGCCGTGCAGAATTTTACCCATCCAAATGCGCATTTTTGCGTCCTTAGTATGATGGTTTATGCGCATTTCTAGTTCTCTTAGTTTGACCGGTGTTGTATTATCTACTGTACGAATCGCGTGATGTAGAGTAGATGTCTCACCTTGCATATAAAAAAAAATAATTCTTAAATTAGTAATCTGTTTTACCAGTTGCTCACTTATATCTATAAGTGCATTCTAATGTCATTTAGGAAATTTTCCACTGTTTTCAGCATCTGATCCAGGTGGCTTCGAGTGGAAGCCAATAGTTTTAAACCATCCATATACAATAGATGATTAAGCTTTGCAACAACAGTGTGTTAGTTTTAATGCCAAAATCTTTGTCAGTTGAGTAAAGTATCTGGGATAGGGGGTTCATCGCTAGACAAAACTACAGTGAGCTCAACGAATCTTCCTGAAATGGACCCCGACTGATTGCAATATTTTCAGTTTCGATATTGTTTTCGCCAGGTATTTGGAGGTGAATTTTTGTCTTCCAATCTGAAATTATATGTTTTAAAAAGATCACTATGTTATCATCGACATTATATATTTTTAATATATCTATAAGCTATTATTATAGTTAGTATAACTATATTTTATTAGGCTATTATAACACTATTTTACAATAATAGTAGCAATACTTTGTTAGATAAATAAATAGATAAATAAGCAACAATATTAATATTAACACATTGGCTAGAAAGAAAAAATAGAAAGAAAAAAATTTCATTTTAGAGTCCAAACTTTTTTTTATTAATTCATATCAAAAATGCATTAGGTTATTAAATTTTTGAGTTCAATTACAAAAAAATATTTTTTCTTGATTATGACCGTGAATTATATTTAACGCACGGAGCTCTAAGACCAAAATATCACTTCCAGCCCAGGTGCATTGTAGGTGACTCACGCAATATACTTTAGCTATCGCTAAAAGTCTCAGATTTCAATTTAGTTTGAGTAAAGATTTCGTTAGAGTAACAGTGCTGTTTGAATTTGTTTCGTATTAGAACTACCTATTCTGTTTATTATGGCGAAAAATTTTTAAACTTACGAGTAACAACAATAATATTTGCAGATATTGCATGAGGATGAATACTTTGATATGAGTGATGAGAATGTAGATGATCCTTTCGAAGATGACAATTCTGAAGACGATTATATACCATCTACGTCCAGCTCAGATAGTGAACAAGAAGAAC